TATTTTTGTTTTAAAGCCGGTGAGATTTGAACCGCTGAGCTGCAGATCACAGTCAGCTAAAGTGGCCTGCAGTACTGCACCCTAAGTTGAGGACTACCTGTATGTAGCTCCTGAATCACATTGCCAGAATCTGGTACCAAATGGTCATATAACTGGAATGCATTTCCTGCTAGGTTTCCATAGGAAACCTATATGTTTTCTTGTAGGACTGATCAAATAGGGCTTTAAAACAAAAATATTGATAGGATTTGTAGGTTTCTATTTCCTTGGAAGCTGAGCATTTCGAACAGGGTACAAGAAGGAAGTTTCATTTTCAGGTTGCCCCTTTGTTCTTTGACACAGTCACAAGCTGTGTTTTTTTTTACGAGTTCCATCCCTGATGATTGATTTTATGCATGTATTTCTAAAAACCGTCTAGAGGACAGCAAGGAAAATGCCACAGACCAATGAAGCATATGAGAAATAAGCTGCGATAAATCAGAGGGTTTTTACTAATGAGGGGTCCTTGGTGCTCTCCCTTATGAGTTTATTATTGCTTCACAATTCACTAATCTCTGGGTTTCACAGGGTTAATATGATCTGAGGGAACATGATCTTACCTTGCTTGGTTCTGCCCTAGTTTGGCTTGCATAGAGAGGGGATGAAACTAGCCCCTCAAGGAAGACAGGAGGTCCCTGTGTCATTCTTTGGTTATTGGCTGCTGGGGAGGGGGGGAGGACAGAAGAAAACATACAATTATTGATTGCTACTGAGCATTCACAGACTTCTTCTATGGAACATATATTCAGGCAGAACACTGTCCAGAATAGATAGAACTACTGGTTGATTGTAGATCAGTGTTTCTCAACCTTGGCGACTTTAAGTCCTGTGGACTTCAACTCCCAGAATTCCTCAGCCAGCTGGCTGGGGGATTCTGGGAACTGAAGTCCACAGGACTTAAAGTCGCCAAGGTTGAGAAACACTGTTGTAGATGCTGGTTTCTAATGACTCACCACAAATAGGAGTGGGGGAGAGGCGTTCCATCTTGGGGACAAGCAATGAACCTGTTGATGCTGTGGTTGCAATGGACTGCGAAGGGCTGGAGATGGGGGACAGCTGAGGGCTGAGCTCTGTTATTTGGGGCAAAAAGCTGGCGGGTTCATCACCAAATGTGTTGCGCTTCAGAAAGGAAAGGAAAAAACGGTTAGCACCGTACAAGGGAACATTAAGCATAGGAGTGTCCATGGAACCTTCTGCCACCAGATACTAAAAATTACTCTAGAAAGGAGAACAGATTAATGGAAGAGAAATCTATTAGCTATAGTCCTGATTTCTAAACAGCCAGGAATGGAATTTCCAGCGTCGGAAACAGTATACAGCAGAGGTGGGTTTCTGCCGGTTCGGCCCGGATCGGGCGAACCGGTAGTGGCAGTGACGGGAAGCTCTGCCCACCCACCCAGACACTTCTGCAGATGTGCAGAAGCATCATGCATGTGCAATGTGCCCACCAGCGAACCAGTAGTAAAAAAATGGATACCCCCCACTGGTATGTAGTACTTGGGAATAGCAGTTTTTTGGACAAGCAGCGAGTTGCTATCTGCCTCCAGCTCTGTTGATGAACTTCCCAGAGGAAGATGATATGTCCAGTCACCAGTGGAGAAAAGAAGCTGGGCAACCTGGGACTTTATGTCTACGAAGTGCTACCATTCTTCCGTTACAATTTCTCCTCTAATAAAAGCTAGTATTGGCAATCTAGGTGTGGGATGTATGTTGGTTCATTTCACCCATGGTTAGGGCAGTTTCCCCTCCAACTGTCTAACATGATATCCTCCGACATAGAATAGAATAACAGAGTTGGATGGGACCATGGAGGTCTTCTAGTCCAACCCCCTGCCTAGGCAGGAAACCCTACACCATTTCAGACACTTCAGACATCAACCAGGGTTTTTCACTTTCTCCTGAAATCCCAAGTTTTAGTGTACCAAACTGTCCAGGTGAGATACAACTCCATTCTTTCCAGTTTTAGAAGCCCTTTATCTTAACCTTTTTCCAAACCCAAAAACCCCCCCCCCCCAAAAAAAAGATTCATTCTCTCACCAACACCTACCAGGGTCTCAGGTGCTGTGGCAGCCACGGTGTGGCTGGGAGCAGCCAGGTCCTCTAAACTAGGTTCTGTTTTTGCTGTAAAAAGAGGTAAAATTAAGTCAACCCATTTATAGACCACAGTAAGGTTTACACAAGCTGCATAAGCCTAAACCAAGGACAAGAAAGTCCAATCCCTACATTCATGTAAGATGTGATGGTGCAGCAGATAAACCCTGCTGAATGAATGATTGGATTCACACAGCATCCTGACACCTGCACTCCCATATTATGCTGAACCAAAAACCTCCCAATTTCATTTTAACCTAGGTTAATATGTTGTGTGAATCCAACCAAACAGTGCTTTCAAATTTAATGAGTGCTCAGGATGCTTTAACTCTAGTGCAGCTGAGCTATAGTTAAGGAGGGAGGGCTCTCTTCCAAATGGAATCTTGTCCCCATGAACAGCATGTGTGCATGAAGCTTAGCTAGAGATGGGGCTAGCCTTTTATTTCTCTGAAGGTCTTTCTGGGTTACTGAAAGAAAGATGCTAATGTTTTCTTGGATAACAGGGAAGGGGCATCCTGATGGATTCCCCCCCCCCTCCTGTTGTGGAGCACCTGTACATCAGGAAAGAAACAAATCTTGCTTTATCCCTCTGTCACATAGCTACTAGTTACAGCTTTTTCAGCAGGCAGCAACATCTGTCTGACCTTGTCTGGGCTTGAAAGCTAAGCAGGGTTAGGCCTCGTTAATACTTGGAGGGGAGACCTCTTTTGGAATAGCAGGTCCATATGTTACACAAGGAAGTCAAAATAACATCCTAGAAAAAGAAAATTATTCCTCTACTTTTGCCGTACGTCCAAAGAATGAACCTGAAGGGATCCTGACTCAAATCTTTTTACTTCATTAGGGCTACAGATCTGAAATGGAGACTGGTCCATTGCCAAAGATTACCGTTACCCAACTAAGACCTGGAACAGCTAACAATCCAAAAATAAATGGATCATTGGCATGCAATTTTGTTATTTTGTTCTGGATTTCAAGAGATGGTCTCTCTTTCCTTTTTACTCTGTGTGCGCTCATTCTTAAATCCGATGATGGGAACTAATATTTTTAACATTTATATGTGCCCAGTTGAAAGGCAATAATGGCCTGAAAAACAGGATAAAAACATTTTAGTCATTTATTTGTATCCCACCTTTTATTATTTTTACAAATAATTCAAACATATTCATCTTCCTCCTCCCTCTTCCTATTTTTCCCACAACAGCAGATCTGTGAAATGAGTTGGGCTGAGGGAGAGCGACTGGCCCAAAGTCACCCAGCTGGCTTTCATAAGTAAAGCAAGACTACAATTCACGGTCTCCAGCTTTCTAGCGTGGTGCCTTAACCAATAGACAAAACTGTCCAACATATAGATGAGGATGAGGATTTATACACCACTTTTTAATGTTTTAGCTAGAGTCTAGAGAAGCTTGTTGTGTTCCACCAAAAGTCTAAAAGATGTTTCTTTTGGTCTCTCCACTGACCACTAGGGCACATCCATACAGCTGTTTTGCCATGTTCTTCCCAAGCTATTAGGAAATCATGCTTCCCTCACATTCATCTTCATTGTGCTGTGAAAACAGGTGTGGGCTACCCTGCTTCCCACTCACTTTTAAATGTCCCATTCTAATCTAGGGGATGTGACTGGTGCTTTCCTCTACTCAAATCTCAGTCCTGACAGTTAGAACAATTAATCAGTGGAACAACTGGCCTCCAGAAGTTGTGAATTTTCCAACACTGGAGGTTTTTAAGAAGAGGTTGGAAACCATTTGTCTGAAATGGTATAAGGTTTCCTGCCTGAACAGGGAGGTTGGACTAGTAGATCTCCAAGGTCCCTTCCAACTCTGTCATTCTGTTAATCTGTTAATCTTCCACCACATGGAAAGGATCTTCCAACGGTAACACAACTGTCTCCTTATTGCATGCACAATTATGTTATCCCTTTTTTCCCTTTTCTATCACATACAATCAAGATCAAGTGAGTTACTAATACCACTCTATAAAGCCCTAGCAGGACCACACCTAGAGTACTGCATCCAGTTTGGTCACCACACTATAAAAAAGATGTTGAGAGACTAGAAAAAGTGCAGAGAAGAGCAACCAGTATGATTAAGGGACTGGAGACTAAAACATATGAAGAACAGTTAAAGGAGCTGGGCATTGCTAGGCTAGTGAAGAGAAGGACCAGCAGAGAAATGATACCAGTGTTCCAATATTTGAGGGGCTGCCACAGAGAGAGGGGGGATCAAGCAATTTTCCAAAGCACCTGAAGGCCAGACAAGGAATAATGAATGGAAACTGACCAAGGAGAGATTCAGCCTGGAAATAAGGAGTAACTTTCTGACAGTGAGAACAATCAACCAATGGAACAGAAGTTGCCTTCAGAAGTCATCACTCAAGATTTTTAAGAAGAGGTTGGATTGCCATTTGTCAGAAATGGTGTAGGGTCTCCTGTTTGAGCAGGGGGTTGGACTAGATGATCGATAAAGTCCCTTCCAACTCTGTTAATCTGTTAAGCACACAGTGAGCTGAACTTTTAAAAGAATGCTTTTTAACTTTGGTTCGACTAGTCAATTGTTCAAGTGCTAGGTGGCAGAAAGTGTTAGGGTTTTGTTTTTTCTTTGTTTGGTTTTTTTTTTAATTTGTTCAGTCAAAGATGCAGCTGTCAAAAGCTGGAGATGGAGAACAGAACAAGGTTTGACTAAGGAGAGCCGTGTGACAGCTGTAAAGTTCTCCAAACCCTCCGTGAAGAGAGGGAGGGAGGAGCCAAGACTGCCCGGGTATAATGGAAGGTGGAAATGACTTTGGGAAACAGGAGGAAGAGCAGCAGATTAGGCAATGGACAAGTAAGAGGCAGATGAGTCTGCAGAAGGAATGTGGGCATGGCAAAGTTCTCAGAAAGGACCCTCCCTAGTTTCTTCTGCAGAGGTAGGGGAGAGGGGAGAGAGAGGAGTACTTTCACACCTGCAAGATTCAGTTAATGTAACCTTACAATACAAATAGAGCTTGTGCTCCTGGATGCGCTATTTGTCTGCGCTAACTGGCAAGCCTGACATCTGGGAGGAGCTGCCATTAGAAACAGAATTCTCTGCTACCAGGCTACAGAAGTACAAGAGCCATTATACTTTCCATTATACTTTCCATTATACTTTCCATTATACTTTCAATTACATGCAGAGATGGGCTAGTCAATTTCAGGACTTTGCACTCCTTTGACTGACACAAAATATAATCTATAAAACATGCAGAGGAGTCATCTACAATTTAAATCGCTTCTCCTATAAATTCACTGGCTGAAGTGGTAACCAGTACACTAACCAGTCAAATCGATCTATTACTTGTAAAAATAGTTCAGAATCAGAGAAAGATTGCAATCTTCTACATGTCTACTCAGAAGTAATGTTATTAATGATACACTTTTCTTTGAGTTCTTGGAACTTATCGGTTGATTTAATTCATTTATATGTACTGTTTTATATTTATTGCACTCTTTTGTAAACCACTATGTCAGAACTGATTTGACAGTATGCAAATAGAATAAAAAATGAAAGTTCAATATGCTATTCAGAACTAATCTTATTAATAATGCATTTATCCTTGTATTCCTAACACTGATTAGTTATTGGTTGCTTTAATTCATTTTTAACTTCTGCATGTTTTTGTTAACTCTTTTGTAAACTACTATAGGTCTGTACTGTTTTGGCAGTATGCAATAGAAATGTAAGTTCGATAGGATTTAGTCTTTGAAAAGAATAAGCAATTTAGGTCCGTGCATGCTTTGACCATGATTTGGAAGAAATGATTTGGATGCTTTCATATAAGCCCAGCGTCTCTTTATTATTCATTAAAAGAGATGCCTTGCTCAAATGTAGTATAAAACAGTATTTCCAAATCATTTTAAAGTATACCCAGTACCTTCCAAATGCATTGCTTCTATGGTCTCCAAAATTCTCAATAGGACTTAGGCTACTAATAGTCCAAAACCCAAAAGGTTTCTGTTTGAATTGTTGACTTATTTGTAGAACTGAATGAAACATGTCTTGGCAACCTCCTAAACATATAAAGGGAACAGGACTGTGGCCAGCTAAAGAAATGGTGCATGGATTGGTATATGAGAAATGTCATTTTTGGTAACTAATAAGTTTGCATGCCAACCATTTTTTTAAAAAAAAAACAAGCAAAATGCATGCAATATAGATCTTAGAAGAGGATATCTACTCTTTCTATTCCAGCACAATTTAATGCAACATCTTTTCTCAAAACATATTTACCATCTGTGCTTTTATACATAATAATAACAATAATGGAATAGATTCAGGATCATGTTTATATTCAGTGATATCTACTTGATATTAAATGTTGCATGGTTCATGTCAAATCTCCCTTAAAGGTAAAGGTTCCCCTCGCACATATGTGCTAGTCATTCCCGATTCTAGGGGGCATTTCAAAGCCAAAGAGCCAGCACTGTCTGAAGACGTCTCTGTGGTCATGTGGCCAGCATGACTAAAGGTCAAAGGCGCATGGAACGCTGTTACCTTCCCACCAAAGGTGGTTCCTATTTTTCTACTTACATTTTTACATGCGTTTGAACTGCTAGGCTGGCAGAAGCTGGGACAAGTAATGGGAGCTCACTCCGTTATACAGCACTAGGAATTCGAACCACCAAACTGCCAACCTTTCTGATCAACAAGCTCAGTGTCTTAGCCACTGAGCCACCGCGTCCTTCTAATAGAATAGTTCAGGTTCATGCTTAATTAATGGAATCTAATGAAATAGATTCAGGCTCATGCTTGGATTCAGTGATATCTACTTGATATTCAATGTTGCATGATTCATGTCAAATCTCCTTTAAATACACTATATTGCCAAAAGTATTCACTCACCCATCCAAATAATCAGAATCAGGTGTTCCAATTACTTGAAGAGCCGAGGTGGCATAGTGGTTAAATGCAGCACTGCAGGCTACTTCAGCTGACTGCAGTTCTGCAGTTCGGCTGTTCAAATCTCACCGGCTCAGGGTTGACTCAGCCTTCCATCCTTCCGAGGTGGGTAAAATGAGGACCTGGATTGTTGTTGGGGGCAATATGCTGACTCTGTAAACCGCTTAGAGAGGGCTGAAAGCCCTATGAAGCGGTATATAAGTCTAACTGCTATTGCTATTGCTATTGCTACTTCCATGGCCACAGGTGTATAAAATCAAGTACCTAGGCATGCAGACTGTTTTTATAAACATTTGTGAAAGAATGGGTCGCTCTCAGGAGCTCAATGAATTCCAGCGTGGAACTGTGATAGGATGCCACCTGTGCAACAAATCCATTCGTGAAATTTCCTCACTCCTAAATATTCCACAGTCAACTGTCAGCTGTATTATAAGAACATGGAAGTATTTGGGAACGACAGCAACTCAGCCATGAAGTGGTAGGCTACGTAAACTCGTCCAACATCAGTGTGTGACCTCACAAATGCACTTCTGGAAGAATGGTCAAAAATTCCCACAAACACACTTCTAAGCCTTGTGGGCAGCCTTCCCAGAAGAGTTAAAGCTGTTATAGCTGCAAAGGGGGGACCGACGTCATATTGAACCCTATGGATTAGGAATGGGAGGTCACTTACAGTAAATTCATATGCGAGTAAAGGCAGGTGAGCGAATACTTTTGGCAATATAGTGTATGTCTAAATCTGGATTTCATCCAATGCTTTAAACTAGTCTGAACATGCTATCAGAGCAGAGGTGGCGCAGTGGTTAAATGCAGCACTGCAGGCTACTTCAGCTGACTGCTGTTCAAATCTCACCGGCTCAGGGTTGACTCAGCCTTCCATCCTTCCGAGGTGGGTAAAATGAGGACCCGGATTGTTGTTGGGGGCAATATGCTGACTCTGTAAACCGCTTAGAGGGGGCTGAAAGCCCTATGAAGCGGTATATAAGTCTAATTGCTATTAAGTAAAATGAAAATAAGATCTTTTTGAATGCAAGTCATTCTTTAATTAGACTTTGCAGTCTTAATCCCAATGCATTCTCAGCCTGGCAAATCCCCTCAGGAAATATTTTGCCTCGTATTCCTACCTGTGCTCAGCAGCTCTGTCAGACATTGGTCAGATATTGTTGCAGCAAGTGGGGAGACAGGAAGTCTTGGGGATCTCTTGTTCTTGACCGTTGCCCCCTTGGTCTTGGGCCTGTCACTTCCAGATGGGGACTGTCCTCTGGCCAGGCCAGAAATTGGCAGACTAGGGAGCAGATGTGATGCATTGAAGGGAGAATGGTATCCAGATGGCAAGTCTAAATTGTAACCTGGTATATTTGGGGGAAAACAGGCTGTGGAGAGGGACGGGGAATTAGGACAAGAAAAGAGAGGGGCAGATGGGTAGTGGAACTTGGAGCAAGGGGCTGACAGTGGTGGGCCAACTGGCTGTTGGCCGAGCAAAGGGGCTCTGGGCAGGGAGGCAGGACAGTAAGATCCATAGTGGTCAAGGCTGAGCCATTTGTTGGGGAGTGTGTAGGGAAGCAGGGGCTTCTGCTTGCGATCAGGACCAAAATTGTTGGGGGAGGTTGAGGGGGAAGGAACGGGAGGGATCTCAGGGCTGAGGAAGGCACCAGGTGAACCAAGCTGAGCTGGGCAGCCACCTGCAGACTGAAAAAGAAAAGAGAGGAGAAAGAGGCTGCAGCAGCAACAACAAAAAGGTTAATTAACATATCCTCCCATCTCATTGTTGAAGTGGGCAGCCAACCAGAGAAAGCAAAAAGTGGCAGAAAGTCAAAAAGAGGAAGGCTCCAAATTCTATCTGACCTGTAGAAACCCAAACTGCTCTATCTGAAATGCTTTGGCCTTTGAAAGTTTATTTAGCACTTAGAATAACTCTCCTGATTTGGATCGTTGTAAAATCAGCCAAATGAAGTAAAATAGAATAACTGCTGGCAATTTTTGAGCTAAATCCTGCAGTACTGTGGATCTGAATTTTACAAGTGGGAAATAATAGTGGGGTGGTTTATTCATATTTAGATCACCAAAATGTTGCCACTTTATATACTCTGTTGTACTCCACCCCATTACTAGGGATGTGATAGGCAAGAATTGATCCTTGATGTTCAACTTATTTTCCCTGCCCAAATAACACTTTGCACATGAATCTGTTTATTATTCCACATTCAATTTATACTGAGAATGCCTGCAAATGGGCAAATGTCTCCCTCTTAAAGTCTGGATACAGCAGGAACTGTAGGCTGAACCCAGACTGAGTTGGAAAGGGCAGAAAAATACAAAAGGAGAGAACAGGCCCCAAAACTATCATGTTTTCCCCAAAATAAGACAGGGTCTTATTTTCTTTTGACCACCAAAATAAGCGCTTGGCCTTATTTTCGGGGAGGTCTTATTATTTTTGAGATGCAGGAGGCACCAAGCGTGGTCACCTCATGGCTGCTGCTGGGTTGCAATATTTTTGAGGGGGGCTTATTTTCAGGGGAGGGCTTATTTTAGCGCATGCGCTCAAAAGCCCGATTGGGCTTATTATCCGGGGCGGTCTTATTTTCAGGGAAACAGGGTAAATCAAAACCTAGGGTAGAGGATTGGAGAAACAGATGCCCATCAACCTTGCACACCTGAAGACGAGGGNGGGTCTTCTTTTGTTGCCCTGCACAGGAGAATGGAGCTGGAAAGCAGGTTGGTGCAGTGGAGAGGGAATGGAGATTTTATAGTATCCTTCCCCTGGCACGCCCACCAAGCCATGCCACACCCACCAAGCCATGTCCACAGAAATGGTAGCAAATTTTTTTGAATCCCACCACTGGTATGCACCCTTTTACCTCGTTACCCCATAGTTTTAGACTACAATACCCACAATGGATTTCTTGACATTAGTTCAATTACTGCCTGTTATTATGTGACATTCAAAGTCTTCAGGTGAATATCAAAACATCTATCCTAAGAGAGAGTTTTATGCAGACAAGTGAATCATTTGCTAAATTTTAGAATCAAGCAAAGATTAAAATTGGAGACAGGGGACTATGTATACAAACATTAGAAAGACAAAAAAACAGAAAGTCCAATGGGAATTGTAGTCCTATGTATTGGAAAAGCAATCGTCTGAAAAAAGTTGCTCAAACTGAGAATTAGTATTTGTCTTGGAGGGATTTTTCCTCTCTTTCCCCCGTGAAAAAACCTCAATAAAAGTGGATATTATATCTCTAAATAGCCTTCAATAACCATTTCTGCTATCTTTCTTTCTTCCAAAAAATGAAGTGGGTGGAAGAAACATGTCAAGCTAGGGCTTCATTCATTTAACTATTATGAACTTTAATTATTCGTAAGTTAAAGACTAAAACAGTGTTAATTAAATATAGTTACTAGTTTCCCATATGTTAAAGACAAATGAACTATGTTGACTATTTATACAACAGGCTTAGTCAGTTTATGGAAATGAACCATAAAAGAGCCAAACAGGCTATCTCTGACAATAATTAAAGATACCAAACCATACATACACCCACACAGACACAGAGTAAACTTCCCGTGTTTAAAAGTAACTGAACAGTCAATCATCCCTAATCAAAAGCAGTTTATAGGTTTATTACAGTGTCTCCTGTGTTCAAAAGCTACTTTTGTTACCAGCAATTAAGCAAAAAACCCAAATCTAAAACCAAAGCTGCCCCTGTATCAACCCACAGCAGTGGGAGTGAACAGAAGGAAGACCACAGTCATTTTTTTGTCAAATGTTTCCATTCTCCAGTCTTATCTGGCAGCAGCCATGATTACATCAGCTCTAAAAAACCTTAGATAGCTGCCAAGGGACCACAATGGCAGCAGAAAGAGGAAAGTATTGTTGATTTTGTCATCATTTCTTAGTCTCCTAAGTACATGTAACACGTAAGGATTGCAGAATCACCAGCTAGGTGTGTTTGAAGAGGACAAAGAATTTCCTCTCTCTTGATGGCCGCCTTCTTCCAGGGTAAGATATGGTGGATAGGGCTGAAGCAAGCACTATTGAGATGTGATCTCTTGCATAACAGTAGAAGCACAGAATGGAAGAATTGGAAGAGATCTTGGTGATCATCAAGATCATGGTACTTCAAAGCAAGTATCCACTGCTATATATCANAGTACTGCACTCTAACCACTGCACCACCGTGGCTCATATTAAACTGTAATGTGTTTTATTAATTTGGATACAGCATGTGATTTAGTTAAGGTTTGTTATATTATGTGAACCCAGATGAAGAGTCCCAAAGCACTTAGAAAAAAAACCAGTGCATGTGCTCGAAAGGAGAACTATTGAAACAAGAGTAAAACCATATTGTACCAATTATTCCCTCACTATAGCCACGTTTCCAGGAACAGTCAGCCGGCTGTTTATTCAGTGTGCAAAGCAGAGCACATTTTCGCTAATCTATGTGCAGAGACCCATGTATAAAGCCAGCCTTCATCATCTCCTGGACAGGAAAGCAAGCAAACACCAGCTGGGATGGAAAACCCTGTAAAATAGCAGCCAAATGTTGAAGGAGGTAGTGCAACGGAGGAAAGTGCACAACATGCACAATGGAGGCCAGTGCTGAATTATAAAACAGAAACCCAGTGGAATTGTGTAATCTTCCCTTAATTTGTTGCCCTCCAGTGACATTAGACTACAAATCCTATCATCTTTAGTTATCATGGGTTGATATGCTACAATGATGGCGCACCTTTTAGACACCGTGCCCAAACTGAGCGCACGCCCAAACTGAAAGGTGCATGCGAATGTATGGGCATGCACGCATGGATGGAAATTTCTCCTTAGTTCTAAGTTGCTTCTCCCCTTGATTAGTTTCCACAAGAAGCAATGGGTGGAAACTAATCAAGGAGAGAAGCAACGTAGAAATGAGGAGAAATTTCCTGACAGTTAAAACAATTAATCAGTGGAACAGAAGTTGCCTTCAGAAGTTGTGAAAGCCCCAACACTGGAAGTCTTTAAGATGTTGGATAGCCATTTGTCTGAAACGGTACAGGGTTTCCTGCCTAGGCAGGGGTTTGGTCTAGAAGACCTCCAAGGTCCCTTCCAACTCTGCTATGCTATTGTATTGTATTGTATTGTATTGCATGCGCAGCAGGGACCCGAAGACCAGCTGGCTGGGGGGAAGTAGGGCATCCCAACAGCGGCAGCGCAGCAAGAGGTAAGATCTTTTTCTTTCGTGAGCTTCTGTTTCGTCGTTTGCAGGGAAACAGAAGCTCATGAAAGAAATGCCATCTGACCTGGGGTGACAGCGCACGTGCCAGCAGAGTGGGCTCTGTGTGTCACCTCTGGCACACATGCCATAAGTTCGCCATCACGGATATAGTAGATCGAATAGAGTATGCACCAGAGTTGGTATTCAGCCAGTTCTGACAGGTTCTGGAGAACCGGTAGTGGAAATTTTGAGTAGTTCAGAGAACCAGCAAATACCACCTCTGGCTGGCCCCGCCCCCAATTGATTCACTGCCTCCCGAGTCCCAGCTGATCGGCTGGGTCTTCTTTTGTTGCCCTGCACAGGAGAATGGAGCTGGAAAGCAGGTTGGTGCAGTGGAGAGGGAATGGAGATTTTATAGTATCCTTCCCCTGNCCCCTTAGAGTCAGGAACTCTAGCATATATGCATGAGGACTATTTGGTCTGATCTTTAATGGACTATTTGGTCTGATGAAGTTCTCATGAGATATTATCTCACCGGCTTGCGAACTCCCTAAAAGTTACTGGCTCACCACAAAACTGAATGCAAAATTAGAGAGACCAATGCTCTGCTGTAGCCTAGTGCTCCATGTGGGGCTGCCCTTGAAGAGCATCCAGAAGCTCCACTTGGTGCAAAATGCAGCAGCCTGCATGGTTTTGTGCACATGTATCACCTCTCCTGCAGGAGTGGCATTGGCTGTTGATTTGCTTCCAGGTGCAATTTAGGGGGCTGGTTGCCACCTTTAAAGCCCTTCATGGCTTGGGACCAGATTATCTCAGGGACTGTCTCTTTCCAGTCATATCTACCCAACCCATTAGAGCACGGAGGCAAGGAATGCTGCAGATCCCATCCCCTAGGGAGATACACCTGGTGGGACCCAGAAGAAAGGCCTTCTCTGTGTTGGCCCCTCTCTCTGGAACATCATCCTCCCAGAGATTAGAATGGTCCCCATTCTAGCAATCTTCCGAAAGGCGCTGAAGACCTGGTTCTGCCAGTGGGCCTGGGGAATGCAGGGAGGAATGGAGCCCATTAAATGGCTCGTGTGAGGTGCTGTCACCAGGATGGGGGATGGGGGTTTATTATATTATTTTATCAATTTATTATATTAAGTTTTATTGTTTTTATACGAGGTTTTATATTCTGTAAGCCGCCTTGAGGTCACCATGTGCGAATAGGCGCCAATATAAATTCCCTAAATAAAAATAAATAGAATTTAAAAATATCTTCAGACTGTCCCAAAGCCAGGAGAGATGGACACCAGAATTACCTTCCTCTGATGATGACTGAGGTGGACAGTTGCCCTGAGTCATGGTGAACAGGGTGTCTGAGATGTCTGAGAGGAAGCTGTCCATATCAAAGAGCTGCCTTCCCTGCTCCTCCTCCTCTTCCTTATCCCGCAGCAGCATTGGCACCACATTGGAGAACAGCTGGTTACACCAGTTCTCTGTCGATTGCCAAGGTACATCTTCCTGCATAGGAGAGAAATGAATTTTCAGCTGGGATCTCATCAGGATCCCTTTGTTGTGGCCCGCCAGTGGCCAGCGGATCTGGCAGGAGATTTGGACAATGAGGAGGTTGGGGAGGAACATAGGCCAGTCCTGGAGTCTGGGGAAAGCTCTGACGTGGGCTCTGTGTTAGAGGCAGAGAGGGGGCCAGGGCCATCTGACAGTTATCAGCCGCCTTCGGAATCGGACATCAGTGGGGCAGAAGAACAGCTGGAGCCTGTTCCCAGTGTGTGCATGCGCAGAGCTGCCAGGAGAAGGGAACAGCTAAGGAACAAGGGCTGNCCTATGAAGCGGTATATAAGTCTACTGCTATATTGCTATTTTTACATGCTTTCGAACTGCAGGTTGGCAGAAGCTGAGACAAGCAACTCACTCCACGCTCATTCCATGACGTGGCTCTAGTGATTCGAACCATTGAACTGCCAATCTTTCTGATTGACAAGTCTTAGCCACTAAGCCCGCGTCCCTATAGACCAACCTGTTTACTGCCTTGCAGAATAAAAACCCATCTGTCTACCAGATTTCAGAAAATACCTTATTGCTTCTATAGAGGGATGCTGTGTTTGCAAGCCTTGCATTCTTGATCTGCTGTCCTTCAACTTAGCTTGTGTCATTAATGTGTCAGAACCTACCTCTCTGCTGCTACTAGCTCTAACAAATATATAGGTAGACCTTGCTTACTGTCTTGTTTAGCAACTGTTTGAACTTACACAATGTTGGAAAAGTAACTTTATTACTGGACTTCACATATACGACAATTACAGCATCCCTGCAGTCAAATGATCAACAATTGCATGCTTAACAATAGGCTTCTGATGGAGAATGGAGAACAGAAAACCACAGATGGTGGTCACCCGATGTTTTGCTTAACAATCTGCAATGATTCACTTAATAACCACAACAGAAGTAAGGTTGTAAACCCATAGCAGTCATATGATGCTTCACTTAGAACTGGATTGCTTAACAATGTAACTGCTGGTCCCAGTTGTGGTTACTAAGTGAGGGCAACTAGTACCTTGACCCCAACCCCTAACCTCTGAACATAAAGTTACATTTAGCTATCATAGATAAGAGCCATTGACAAATCAATTCTCATCGTCTGAATTAATCCCTTTAAGGGTTTATAGCTTATGACTGTGACTATCCATATGACTAATTATTTTATGCTGTGTCTCATTGGAAACATGATGATTTATGAGATTAAGCATCTCATTCAACATTATTATTAAAACCGTAAAAAGAAATTATGCTTCTGGAAGCATAATTTAGAAAAATGTTTATTACTTTTTAATGTTATATGATTAAAAGCTAACACAGTGGTTAGAATGCAGGATTGCAGGCTGACTCAGCCCCACTGCCAGGAGTTCGATTCTCACTGGCTCAAGATTGACTCAATCTTCCGTCCTTCCAAGGTCAGTAAAATGAGGACCCAGATTGTTGACTCTGTAAACCACTTAGAGAGTGCTGTAAAGCACCATGAAGTGGTATATAAATTTAAGTGCTATTGCTATTTTGGAGTAGTGATAGTAAATCAAGGAAAACATCAAACCCATGTGACAGCTATGAAAAAGTAAATTTCATGCTGTAGATGTTTCAGAAAGAAATTGAAAATAAAACTGACAATGCTTTATTCAAATCTGTAGTAGGACTACATTTGGAATACTGTACCATTTTGGTCACAACTTCTTTAAAAAGTAGCAGAATTATAAACAATACAGAAGAAAACAAATGTGCACAGGTTGGTAACCCTATGAAGAAAAAGCACAATGTGTGAGAATGTGTTAAGTGGGAAAACTATAAGCAGAATATGGTTGAGTAAATTAAAAGTATGCATGTGGCAGGAGCAACTACTCAGAGTCAAAAGATAGAGATGAATGGTGAAAAATTAAGGATGGGAAAAAAAGAAGAAGTATTTCACAAAGCTGTACTATGAATTTCTATTGTGGTAATAACCAAAAACATTAAAGACTTTAAAAGCCATGAAACCTTGCCATGGAAGATAAAACTATCAAAGGTTACTATTAGGATATCTTTATTATTACCTACAGATTTTTGTCAATGCATTTTGTAATACTCATACCTTAAAGGGGAGCTTCCAACAACTTTTAGTTGATTTTTTTGGGGGGGGGACCAGGATTTTATAATGAAGTAATGGACTATATATAGACTAATGGACTATTTACATATTTTATATATATAGGGGACATATATAGGTGTCTCAGTGGCTCAGATGCTGAGCTTGTCGATCAGAAAGGTCGGCAGTTTGGCGGTTCAAATCCCTAGCGCCACGTAATGAAGTGAGTTCCCGTTACTTGTCCCAGCTTCTGCCAACCTAGCAGTTCGAACGCACGTAAAAAATGCAAGTGGAAAAACAGGGACCACCTTTGGTGGGAAGGTAACAGCACTCCGTGCACCTTTGGTGTTTAGTCATGCCGGCCACATGACCATAGAGATGTCTTTGGACAGTGCTGGCTCTTCAGCTTTGAAACAGNAGAGACAGAGAGAGATACAGAGAGAGAGACAGAGACAGAGACAGAGATACAAAAAGAGAGAGATACTGCAGGTGGCTAATGGACTGAGGGATTCTACCTCCACCCCATTTACACCTTGCTCCCTTCCTTAGCTCTCTTTCAATTTTAATGTTAATATTTATTATTTTAATATCTTACTGTTTTATTCTATTGTTTTTACTCTATTGTAAGCCACTTAGAGTCACCTCCAGGTGAGATGGGTGGAACAGACATTTAATCAATGCATAGATAAATCAGCCCACACAGCCACTGAGCTTAAGAGACATTGCACCCCCTTCCTGATGCTGATGGTGCTGCCTTGGAGAAGCCACTGCGCTGTTCTCACCTGGCCAGAGATGGTTGGAAGGCAGATGGCTGGGTTTTGTAGCAGCAGAAGCAGCAGCAACAGCAGCACACCAGGGAGAGTGGCTGCAATTGTGAAACAAGCATTTTCACCACATAGAGAAGCAATCATGTGTCAGATCCTACCCATGGGCCACAAAAGTATTAGCCGACACCTTCCAGCCCTGACCACAAAAGGGTAATGGATGCTTGGGGATAAAATTGCCACGTTTGCAATCTCTACGCAAAGAAGATTATAGTCTACTGCAGGGGTGTCCAACCTTGGCACTTTAAGATGAATGGACTTCAGCTCCCGGGATTCCCTAGCGAGCTTCAAGTCTTAAAGTTGCCAAGGTTGAACGCCCCTGGTCTAGTGAATTTCTGGTGAGTTAGCTTTGGAGAACTGAGGGGGAAAGCCTTCCACTTAAAAAGTGTGCTAAGAATCAAAGCTTCCTTTTAGAAATGATTCTTGTGGTCTTTTAGGTTTATTTCAGTAATAAGCAACGTGAGTGCATATCTGTGTTAAGCAGCAATAACCCACAGTATCGATGAAGTGGGGCATTCAATATTTTGTAGTCTGGGGCCATACTTGGTCATGGCTGAGTGAAGCACCATACTGGCGCAGTGGCTGGAGCTAGGGGGCAACACATGGATGAGGCCAAGCAGAAAGGCTAAAATCATTTCATGTAAACTTACAACTAATTCAAACTGATGCTTATGAAACGCAGCTGATACCGTGACCTGTCAAAACCGCGTTCCACAAAAGCGCGGTCGACGAAATCGCGTATGTGACATCATCACAATGCGACGAAAAA